TCATCAGAAAAGGCTTTTCTGATGAAGGGTCTAGGCCCGAAACGTCAGCCTCTCTGCTCCTGTGATGCTGCTTGGCCTGCTGTGTTCATCCAACCCTGCACCTTGTTGTCTCGGATTCTCCAGCATCTGCAGTTCCTACTATCTCTTTCACTCAGCAAGTAATTGGGATATAGAATGCACCGCCTGAAGTATGGTAGAGGCTGGTTCAAGTGAGGCATTTAAGGGGGTATTAGATGATCATTTGTATAGAAATAGTGTGCAAGATTTGGGGAGAAAGTTGGAGATTACCTACTGCCAATGATGCTCTTTTGAAAAACTGGTGCAGGCTAGATGGGTAAATGACCTCTTTCTGTACTGTTAGAGTTCTGTGATTCTGTTGGAATGAGTGAGTTATGTCTCAGACTATGTTTACATGATCTCTGTCTGGAAATGTTGTAGACTTAGCCACACTAGTTGATCATCTTGTTTGAAAAGTTGTTTCTGCTGCACCCAGTCTTCTTTGCTTTGCAAAATGTTCCTTCTTAAAAAGTCCTATTTTCAGCCAATGATATTCTAAATTAATATTTCAGAGAATACAGCTTCATGACAATTTATAATACTGTTCTTACTTTTTTTGCAGGAGAAGAGGCCACACAACCTGACAAGAGACAGACTCCTGGTAGGGAAGGTGCAGTGGATGGGATGGATTTCTTAATGAACCAGATGCATTTTTACATCAACTGACAGTGATTACAGGCTCACCAATAGACCAGCATTTTTTAAAAAAATGTATTTCCAGATTTCATTTTAATTCTTTTTATCTTGTTTTCTTTTCAAAGCCTGCGCTGAAGTAAAGCAGCTACAGCTATTGAAGGGAACCAGACTTCTGCACATTTACTCTGCTCTGCTCCCTCTGAAGTTTGGTGCTTTGAGTCATTTGTTGGAAGATCAGTCAGAAAAGATTCAGAAGGAGGTTCGTATATTTGTTTGTCTGATCAAGGTCATAAACACGGGGCTAGATTTAATGGGGTTGATGGACTAGTTGGTGCACTCTACACCGATCCCTAACTGAAATGTCAGTCCATTCTGCCCTGCCACATTATTACAGTGTGGGTGGCAGTAATAAGGCAACAGTGGAACTTCTGCTCCTTAACGCATTGGAAGTCTCTCCCTTCAGAGCTGCTGGTCACCTGCAGTTCCAGCTGCATCAGAATTTGGTGGGGTTGCCGTCGGAACTGCAGGCAACACCATGGGGAAGGCAGCTATGGATTCTTGGCTAAGGAAAGTCAGTAGTATTGGACAGGGAGGGACTGGGCACATTTGCAAAGGGAATCAAAGGGATATGGAGGTGAGTTTCAGAGTGTAGGTGGGAAAGACGGTAGGAAGTGATATTAAGCTCTGGGAAGGGGTGCCTCTGATGTACATAGTGCAACCGTTGAAAATAGAAAGTCCCTCCTATTCCTTGCTGCCACTTTAAAAACTGACACTCACTTTTAATAAGGCAAAATAATACAGGTAATGGAAATCTGAAATAAAGACAAGAATTTCTGGAGAAACGCAGGATGTCTGGCAGCCTCTGTGGACAGAGAAAAAGAGTTAATGCTTTGAGTCCAATGACTCATCTTCAGAACAGCTTATTCCTGCCTGGCTGCCCACACCAACCTCATTATGATGTGAGCAAGATAACATGTAGGTTAATTGAACTTTTAACATGTTCAATTGACCTGTGAGTATTTGTTTATATATTGCAGTGAAGGGTTTTTTTGATTTTGGTGGCTACCCACCTCCCATATTACTGGGATAAGCTCAGAAGTGGCCTGGTTCACCAGCTGATTCATACCCAACAGTGGTACGTAATATGCCGATCCTGATACGGAGTTCTGGACCTTGATCTTTCAACTTTGTGGTGTCCCCAGACAACTTCCAGTTAATTCGTACCTGAAGAAACAGGCTGATTTCTCAGATTTCTTGGCACAACATTATGGGCCGAAGGGCCCGTTCCTGTGCTGTATGGTTCTATGTTCAACGTCTGACGTCCCAACCAGGAATCCAGTGTTCCGGCAACAATACCCACAACACCTTCCAAATATTCCCGAAACCTGCGCTACTGTTTTCTTTTTCCAAAACTATCTCCAAAAACGCAAACTTAGAAATCTCAGTGAATGCAAGCAACACTTTGCAGACTATAAACTTCATTATGCCTTACCAAATGCCCTTACAACTCCATTAAACCAAACTACTGTGCCTTTGCAGCCTGCTGTTTCAGAGCACAATTCCAGTATCAGGTGCCAACATAACTATCTATGTTCCATAAAACACTAAGACCACCTGCCTAACTTGGCAATGAGTCTTATTGAATTCAATTGAAATTAGTTATTACAACAACATTATGCATAATCATTAGAATGCTGACATTATTTCCATCGTACTGAAGCTGATTGGAATATCCCATTTGAATTCTAATCTGTTTCTTCCAACCCTACTATCCTCTGTGTGAAACCCTATGAGAACTGCATTTATCTTAAACAATAATATCTTTCTTTCTGTATATTACACCGATATCTTCCATTGCTTTATGATAAGACATTTGAACAATGGAATTTCATTTAAAACCAACCTTTGTGAATTGCTTGTGCAAGAAGTAAACCATCAAAATTCATTGATGGCTTTTGTACAAAGTAGAAATAAAATTCATAGATCTATGAAATAGGAAATAATTTGAAATTCAAGTCAGTAAATCTCCTGCACTAAAGTTCCATTATGTACAAACTGAAAGGAAAGGGCTTGAGACTGACTCCGTTTCTCAGTAACAGAACACTGGCATATTATAGATGTTGGCCTTGAGGAGCTGATGTCAGAAATTAAATAAAGAAGGATTTTCCAAGCTTGCACTAAAGGACTCCCTCCCCAGACATTTTAATAGCTAGTGGGATACAGCTAATGGGCTGATTGCTGTCTTTGCATCTGTTGTGTTTAGCCCTACGGAAGGTCCTAGCTTAATTCTCTCGCATATGATTCTGGCTCTTCTTACATTGTAGGTAACTCAAAAGTAGTTCTCTGCTACTTTCCTCATGGTTTGTTCCTTCTTTTTTAGGAAATTATTCTCCACAGATGGATTTCAACCGAGGCTAAAGGGCCTACTTTGTCTTTATAAATGTTGCAACATCAGATGTAAGTGCCCCAATTGAATGTCAATGAAATAATCAGGGTCAGTGCCTAAGCACAGCTCACAAAAGTTCTCTTGAGTGGACACGAAACACAATCCTTCTGACTCAAAGATGAGAATGGTGGTACTTGACTAAATACTCATTCCAATGCCTTAAGAATCTAAACTGCAAATATAGAAGCAAAGGTGGTTTACATGTCATAAGTTGCATCCTCAGAACACTTTGCTCTAAAGCTAATATTTACCCTCAAAATCCTTTGCATGAATGGTCATATAAACAACACATAAAACATACAGGTCACGTGCTGAACTCTTGCCGCACACTGAGTTATTTCTGCTGCATTACACAGCAAATCTGGGCAGTGTGATACATGTTCAGTAACACTCAGGATGTGCTTTAGGACATTGCTGCGTGATGTAATTAGATAACTATATCATCCTGCATGGAAAAAAGAGATGCAAGAGTCTTCCTCCCTGAATAATGCTCCAGACACTTGCTTGATATATTTAAGGATAAAATATTGACTGAAATTGCAGATGATCCCCAAGCCAGTGGACAAGGATGGCAAGACATAGAAGTTAGAGAGATGGTTATCGCTGAAAGAATCATTTCTAAGCCAAAGGCTGTATGCAAGTGTACTTTCAGCAGATGGCACAGTTCTACTGCTGTTTGGGTCTGCGAACCTGTGGAAACTCTTCATCCTGCTTATTGTCAGGAACGTATATCAGGATCAGTAAATACTATAAGTGCAGAAAGTCTGGTTCTGATGCCTGGGGACACAGCAGAGTTGTGGTAATAGGCTGGTCATTTAGAATCTCAGGCAAATGCTCTGAGGGCCTAGGTTCAAATTCCACCATAGCACAATGATGGAATTCAAATTCAGTTAATAAATCTGAATGTAATGCTAGCCTCAGTGACGTTACCCATGGCAAACATCATTAATTATTGTTAAAAATTATTCAGTTCACTTGCATCCTTCAGGAATGGAAATCTGCTGTCCTTACCGGGTCTAGCCTACATATGACTCCAGACTCAGGCTGACGCACAACTTAATGAGAAACTCAGTTCAAGAAATGGGCAACAAATGCCTACATTCCATGAAAAAAGTCAGCATTAATAGTCTGATTTTTGTGAACCTTCTTTGGTCTGCAGCCTCAAACATTCAAGTTTACAGGGGGGTACTGAAATAACAGGGCACAGGCCGGTATCCCATCACCAAGTCATCCTTTATTTACTTGTGCACAGTACACTGGCTGTGGCCAGCTAGCTTGGGGTCAGTCCCTGAACTGAGGAGATTCAATCCCCGGTTTATAGCCAATTATCAGACCTGATTCAAATCAGAAACGGTAACAGTCAGTTGGATTTGAACCCACTCTTAGAGATACAGCAACTTCAACACTAGGTTATTTTTACAAGCTCCATACCTAAGAAAATGTCAGAAATCACATGACACCAGGTTATAATCTAACAGGTTTATTTAAAAACGCAAGCTTTCAGAGCCTCAGTCCTTCAGGTGTTAGTGAGAGAGGTAGTATCAGACACAGAATTTATAAGTAAAAGATCAAAGGTTCACACCATTGATGAAGATGTACTAAACAAACCTAAGATGCTGTTCAATATTTAATCAATTGGAAGGTTTTAGTTGGCTAATATGAATATGTAAATCCCTGAATACCTTTCAAGTCACGGTCCTGAGAGAACTGAAGGTTTTATCAGTGTAAAGAAGAGGTGACATTTTAGGTCAGACAATGCATGTTAGGTGCGATTCATACAAACACACAGGCTGCTAATCTCCTGTTTATATTGGTCAATCTGAGGTAACAGCTTTCAGCTAATCCACGTATTTGTTCTGGACTGTATCACCTATCCAAACTTTATGAGTCACAGGGCCTGACCTTGTGTCCACAAAATTTCATCCCCCAAATTAAATTGTCTCTCGCATAGAGGAGGCATGTGGCCGGCATTGGCGTTCCTGCTGCTGTTTCACCCCTCCCCCAGGTCTGGGAACATCAGGTTTAAACTGGTGTGAAGTCTTCTCCTTATTAGCAACTCTGCTGGAGCTTTCCCTGTTGTTGCATTTGATGTGATCCTATAGTCAAACAGGAACCGGGACAGTTTGGTGTCACGTGACACTGTAGGCTGCTTCGTTAAGCCTGCCTTCAACATTTGGGGACCACTCTTTCTGCCAGACCATTGTGCAATGGATGGTATGGAGCTGTCCTTATGTGCCAAGTGCCATTGGACTTTAGGAAATACTCAAATTCCCTGCTGGTAAATGACGTCCCGTTGTCCGTGACCAATACTTCCCGGAGTCCATGTATCGTGAGCAATGCTTGCAGCTTCTCAATCGTCTCTAAATTTGCTGAACAATCTTTGTACATGTCCAAACTTTGAGTAGGCTTCCACAATGACCAGAAATATTGAGCCCATGAAAGGATCGGCATAGTCAACATGCAACTAAGTACAGGGTTTACCCAGCCATTCCCACAAATGTTGGGGTGCTGCTGGTGTCCTTGTTGGCAGTCTGGGCACTGCCCTACCAACTCAGCTATGTCAGCATCCAACCCTGGCCACCAGACATAGCTTCTTGCTGGTATCTTCATCATGGGAACCCCTGGATGACTGTGGTGGGTTTCAGCCAGTATCTGGCAACAACCTTTACTCAGGCAATCACCTTGCTCCCCACAGTAATATGCCATCCTCTACGGTGATCTGGTCTCCCCAGGTCCAGAAACGTTTCAGTGCTGATTGCAGTGGCCCTTCTGTTTTCCCCATTAACACCAGCTGTTTTAGTTTCACTTGAACAGGATCTTTTTGTGTCCATAATCGGATATTGTCAGTGGTGACTGGAAGGGTGTCCAGGAAATTTCAAACCAAAAAGCACTCTTCCAGGGGAGGCACCACCAGTGGAGTATCTGCCAGTTGGAGGCAGCTCAAGGCATCCACATTAGCCACGGACTTCCTGGGCAGTGTTCTAACTTGTACATGAACATGCTGAGAATAAGAGCCCAATACTGAATTCTACTGGAGGTTATGAACAGCACAGCCTTGTTTTCCTTCAGTAGCCCTAGCAGGTGTTTGTGATCTGTTACTATAATAAATTCTTGTCCAGAAAGGTACTGGTGGAACTTCCTCACACACCAAAGATAACCGCCAAACCTTCCTTCTCTATCTGGGCACGTTTGCGTTCGACTTCAAAGTCTGGGAAGCATACACCATCGGGCATTCCTCTCTGTTGAGCCACTGGTGAGCCAACACTACCCCAATACGAGGAGGCATCCCATGTCAGCACTACCTCTTGCTTTGGATTGTAGTGGGCCAACACCTTAGATAATGATAGCTGCTTTTTCACTTCCCTGAAGGCTACTTCTTGGCTATGCGACTATTTCCAAGGCTGACCCTTTTTCAATAGCAGGTGTAAAGGAGCCGAGATTAAGGCCAGGTTATGTATGAATTTTCTGTAATAATTCACTAACCTGAGGAAAGACCTAAGCTTCGGTACAGACGTGGGAAATGGGGCTCCTTTGATCACTCTCACTTTCTCTTCCAACCGGTGTAACCTGGTTTTGTCAATTCTGTAACCCAAGTAGGTCATTTGGGATGCCTGGAATACACGTTTTTCCCTTCTAAGGTGTCCTTCTCAGAGAGAAATGTTTAAGCACTGTGCCCAAGTTTTCTTTATTTGTCTTCCTTGTTATTATTACATCATCCAAATGGCAGTCTCATATATTGGTAAAACCCCTTAGGGGTGTTAATTGTAGTGTATTTCTGAGACTCCTCACCCAGTCGCAATTGTAGGTAGCCCTGGCTGACACCCAGCTTCATAAAGGATAGCCCCCCCGTTAACTTTGCATACAAGTCCTCTATGCGAGGGATTAGATATTCACCCAGCTGCGAGAAGTGGTTTACTGTTTGCTTAAAATCCCCACAAAGGCAAACCGAGCCATCAGGCTTCACATTGGGTACAACTGGTGCTGCCAATTCTGCAAACTGCACTGGTTTGACGATTCCTTCACTCTCCAGCCTCCTGATTTCTGCTCCTACTTTTGCCCACAGCATATGGCACCAGGCAGGCATAATCTCAGAACTGCTTCCTGGTCAACATATAAAGTGGCTTTGGCCCCTTTGATAGTCCCAAGCCTTTCCTGAAAAGCTCCTGGGTATTTCACCAGGACTTCACAGAGTTAGCCATTTGCTTTTCTTTGTTCATTTGCAGGGTGAGGGTGTCACTTTTAGGTAGCATTTATTGTCCATCCCTAACTGTTGAGAGTCAACCACATTGCTGTGGGTCTGAAGTCACATGTAGGCTAGATCAGGTAAGGATGGCAGTTTCCTTCCCTAAAGGACACTTTCTAATTGAAAAATGTTGAGCCAGTCTAGGTGAATCTTTCTCAACCAATTCCACCCCAACTGGCTTACGCCCAAGCCTCTTACTATAGTTAGTGGTAACTGCACTAACTGCTTCTCATAGTAGATCAGAGCCAAAGTTGTACACTTAATTTGCAATAGTTCCCCAGTGTATGTTCTCAGTCTGGCTGAGGCCTTGCACAAATGTAAGGTTTGGAAGTCCAAGTGAATCTTGTTAAAGACAGATTCTGCAATTACAGATTCAGCTGCACCGGTATCGACCTCCATGGGAACTGGGTGACCATTAAACCAAACATTAATTTTAATTGGTTCTGATTTGGCTGTCGCTAAGCAATTTAGTTGTTCCAACCCACATGTAGGAGACTTTCCAGGGTGTGCACTCTCCTGGGTACTAGGCTACAACTTTTCTTACTCAAGTCAGGCCTTGTAGGACTCCTCTGCTGTCGAGTCCGCATAGCAGCAGCAAGTACAATACCTTATTGGCCCAAATCCTGCTGAACTTTTTAGCCGCTTGGCTTTGTTGTGGTTCTGCTGTGGCCTGGCCTCGAGTCCCTCTGCTCAGGATATGACCTGCGAGAAGCTCTGCAATTGCTTACACTCAAGTGGTGTTCCCCAGGCTCAGTATGACCGTTGAAGGTGTCCACTTCCTTTGGGATGCCTTGTAGCTCCATTTGCCGCATTTTCTAATAACAGAGCCAGTTGGAGTGCCCGTTTGAAGTCCAGTTGGGCTTCGGCTAGTAGGCGCTTCTGCACGGTTACATCAGTACTCCCACACACCAAACGATCTCTCAGCATCTCATTCAGTGTTAACCCGAAATCACATGCCTCTGTCATCTTAACCTCATCAAAAATCCCGATACGGATTCCCCCAATTCTCCAACAGCCGAATAAAACTGGTAGTGTCTTAGAATTAGAGGAGGTTTGGGGTGGCAATATTCCTTAGCCAACTTCGTCAACTCTTGAAAGATTTTAGTGCCTGTGCCTCTGAGAAAGTTAAGCATCTTTTAACCGCAAATGCTACGGGTCCGCAAGCAGTCAGAAGTATTACTCGTGGCTTTTCATCTGCCCCAGTGTCATTTGCCCAGAAAAATTCACATTCTTTCCTCATACTGGGCCCAGTCTTTGGCAGCAAGATTGAACGAGTCAAGCTTCCCAAATAAAGGCATGATGCCAGAAATGCTTATCCCAACTCCAAGATGAGTGTTGTGAGTGAAAACTCTTCAGGCATGTACTGTTTTCTCTCATTACCACTGAAATAACTGCACAGAGGCTGGTATCCTGTCACCAAGTCACCCTTTACTTACTGGTGCACAGTACACTGGCTGTAGCCAGCCAGCTCAGAGTCAGTCCCCTGAACTGAGGAGATTCTAAATCCCCGGGTTATCTTTGTTTTAACAAGCAAGGCTCGATAGGGGCAACGCTTACGTGAAAAGAAGTGAAAGGGGAAGGTAGGCATCAAATCAAAATAAAGTTGGGGGGGCAGATAAAGCACTCCACCCCACATCGTGCCCACCTCTCCCGGAAGGTGGCAAGAGCATTGGTGGACACCGCGTGCGGTCTCTCCAAGGACATGGGCTCAGACATAATCCCCTGTTTATATTGATCAGTTTGGCTATCCTGATTGGCCCAGTTTAATGACACCAATCGAGGATCTTGTAGTCAACAAGATCTACCTGGTTCGAATCACTACATGTACTTTTTAGGAAAGTCCACTTTTTATCCTCCGTTAAACAGACTACAGAATGTTTGGCAAGTTCTCATGCCATCATGAATTATAGAGCCAGTGGGAGTCATTTTGACCATTTGCAATTGTGCAAAAAAGTTAACAGCAATTGCCAGCCTCTTTTACAGCTCTCTCATTCGCTTTAATGGAAATAAAAATTGGGAGCTGTCACTTTATTATCACCTTTAGTGGACAATCACACTGGGTCATAATAACCTTCAATTGTCTTTTGATCAGAGATTTAATGGCTAAAACAAATTTAAAATATTCACTTCTGCCAACCTGATTCACATTGGAACCCTTTTCACTGAGTCAGATTTCCACCTTAAATATTTTAGATTAGAATCTCAGTTAACAGACAATATTTCTGAGGAGATTTTAAATGCCAATCCATCATCATGAAACTAAAGGTACCAGTGAGTTTACTCATTTTAAATTTCTTTCCTTGCATCCCTGCAATGCTGTGGAAGACTGACACTGAGTCTGGGTAATGTTTCCATGGACTGCGTGACCCAGTTGAAGAATTTGATAACGTCTAGCATTAGTTGGCCTCCCCTACACGTCTGGGGAGTCATTAACCACATGCTTCCAGCAGGATTCCAAGACATCTGTCAGTAGCCTTCATGAATAGGAAGGACAATAATTTAATTCATGTCTAGCAGGTCTTTCAGCAAAGGAACTTAACAATTGTTCCTAGGCAGTTGTCAGAAGACTTCAGTTGACTATTTCCCCCAATATTCAACTCTTCCACAAATGTGACAGGGAGATGGGAAATACTCTGATATGTGTGACACATGATACCCTTCTGTAAACTCACCATACCTGAGCAACTTGTCTGGAATCACCAGGAGAATTATTGGGCACAGTAAGGAGCTTCTGAAGCAGAGGCCCTGGGTCAGATAATTATGAAGGCTGTCCAAAATATGCCGCAAAGAATCTCCTGTATCACATTGGCGTGCAGTATCCTATACAATATCACAGCATATAGAGATAACAACTACAGCAGCAGACTTCAACCGTCAAGCAACAGGAGTGGATTAGTGAGGAACAGCAGAAGGAAGAAGGCCACCTGAAAGAGTTGCAGAGAGATATGAAGAATGCACATTGTGGGCAATGATTTCAGTGGCCTGCTCATTACGGAGAAGATCTATATTTATATGAGGACCATTGAAAAATTTATAGTTAATGACTTATGGCTACTTAAGCCTCCCTCTGTTTATCTTTGTCATCTAAATATGAAAGTTGTTCCTATTTACTTCACCCTTGTTCTATTCCCTCTCCTGCAAATGTCTTTGGAGCCCATATATTGGCCCCATTGTAGTAGTACCAGTGTCAAGTATACTGTTCAGGAATTTTTTGCAGAAAAATGAGCTGACTGATAAAGTGTTAGGAGTTCATTTCCATACATTACACATAGCACACATTAAATATAAAGCAATGAGGGAAAGTGACTCGAACATCAACTATTCCTTCTCATGGGGAAAAGAAGGACAAGAGGACGCAATCTTAAAGTAAGAATTCAGCCAATTAGAAGTAAAATGAGGGGGCATTTTTTTCGTACAACAAATAGGACATCTGGGATTCTGCTCCCAAAATATTTGTGGAAGCTGTGATAACTGCAGCTTCCAAGACCATTTTGTAAATCTCGTATTTTTGTTAATGATTGCAAGCAGAACAGAATGCAATTGAAAAGCTATATAGCTAGGGCCCTTCATTTACTTTTATGGACCTGCTATCCATGGGGAGAAATATGTGTGTCACTTAGGTAGAGCAATTATCTCCATCAATTTATCTACCATTTTAAATATATGTAGGATTCCTGGCATTCAGCAGCTAGCTAAATCATAATGTATTATAGATAAGTTATATTGAATCCTAAGATGCAATATAGTCTGATTTTTTTTTAGGCAGGATGTGTGAAATTTACAATATCATCAATAATTAAATCAATAATAGCACTGTGTAGAAACAGTTGTGTCTTCCTTGGTTAAGTTAGTTCTATCCATTAAGTATTACTGCAGCTGTGGCTACAATGAGAAAGTGTTGTGTTTAATTCACATTTTACACATTATGCCTACACCAGTAATTCTAAAACAGTACCTGTTACTTTTCAAACTTCAATAATACTGAATATATGTTGTGCATTGCAGCACCTTAAAATTTGCCACCGTGACAGGAAAAAAGTTGAAGAACCTTTTAAAAAACTGGTACAAAGAATAGAAGTGACTTTTCCTCTCAGATTTGACCATTCCGTGGACAATATTCAAACCTCAACGATCACGAACTTCATGCTACTCATTAAATCTTCAGAGGAACAGTCTGTTAAATGATTCTTTTACCTGCATCCCAAACAAAGGGAAAATTGCAGAAGATCTATCTAAGCAATTTCTACATTACTCATTGTTGACTTGCTGCCTTTTTGGGCTGATTGCTTCCTCCCACAGATTTCCAGATCTTCAGTCGAAGCAGTTAATGTTAACCTTTGAAAGATCTTGATGATTGTCTGGTGACGAATGAGATTATAAATTATGAGGATAAATGCAGATAGAAATGATTGAACATGTTGTGCAATTTAACCCTCTTTGAATTGTTGTGACCATGGAGAATGACTTAGAAATTGCATTACAAGGTTATACATATGGCCTAGTCCATTTATATTGGTGTTTATGCTATAGATGAGTTGTAATCCTGATTCCATGCCCTTTTCTCATTGTACTTTATTCCAATTTTCTTCAATCTTCTACCTAAAATGTTGACTTCATTTCTGCTTCAACCATTAACTCTAGCCACGCACTCAACAACCTTCACAATCCTCTGTATAAATCTCAGTTTATTGAATCTCTTACAATTAATTCTATATCTCTCCACATTATTGGATTAGAGACTGCAATTTCTCCCAAAATTTGTTTTATTCTCTGTGCTCAATTATTAGAAACGCCTAAAAGGAAATGAAAGCAGGCTGAGGAGGAACGATTTATGAAGAAAATGAACAAAAGTTGCTTTGTAGGTTGAATAACAATCCAACAGAGTCTGGCTTTAGTAGGTCATAAAGTAGTTGCTAAGGGTAGAACCTTATATGGGCCTGAATGACGTGAGCTATAGTGAGAAATGTGCTAGAATTGTGCAAGGTGTCCAGTGAGACCTATCGTTGCATTAGGAGCAACCTGCTGCATTGTTCAGTGAAGTTCTAGGGTTGAGATAAGATTTTTGCTAGGCAGCAGCAAGTTGCCTCTTCTTGGGGATTATTGCTTGTTAACAACCTTTTAACTGCAGTTCTCATCTTGTCAATAAGCAGTTTTCTCTCATACCATCAGATGCTGAGAATTCTTCAGATGGGAGGTGGACACGTATCTGGTGACGTCAGCTTCCTGCTGGTTGCAAAGACCTTCCACATTAGCCGTCACACAGCAGCATCTCTTTGTACAATCACTGAGCATCGATAATTCCCAACTCCTCAAGATCCCCATGGTATCTCTTCGATCTACTTGCAGGAGATTTAGAAAGTACGGATTTGCATTGGAAGGCTGCTGCAAGGGCACTTTACACACTGGTACCAACTCACAGGTTAGACCAAGCTGCATCTCAGGGCTGCTTGCCCACTGTTTTCACACTCACTCACTTAGCACCTTCCTCCATGCTTACAGCATCCATACCTTGACTTGCCTTCATTTGGCATGCCTGTTGGTCATAAGACCATAAACTGTAGAAGCAGAATTAGGCCATTCAGCACATCCAGTTTTCTCTGCCATTCAATCATGGCTGATATATTTTTTCAAATCCATTCTCCTGCCTTCTCCCCATAACCCTTGATCCCCTTACTAATCAAAAGCCTATCTATCTCCGTCTTAAATACACTAAATGAATTGGCTTCCACAGTCTTCTACAGTAATGAGTTCCACAGATTAACCACCCTCTGGCCGAAGAAATTCCTCCTCATCTCAGTTCTAAAGGGTCATCCTTTCACTCTGAGGGTGTGTCTTTGGGTCCTCGTTTCTCCTACCAGTGGAGACATCTTCTTCAAGTCCACTCTATCCAACCCTCTCAGTATTTTGTAAATTTCAATCATGGTCCCTCTCTTCCTTCTAAACTGCATTGAGTACAGACCCGGAGTCCTCAACTGCTCCTTGTACATCAAGCCCTTCATGCCTGGGATAATTCTTGTAAAACTCCTTTGGACCCCCTCCAGTGCCCACCCATCCCTCCCTAGATACAGGGTGCACATTGGCTCACAATATTCCAAATGCATTCTGACCAGAACCTTAAACAGTCTCAGCGATACATCTCTACTCTTATATTCTAGCCATCCTGAAACAAATCCTAACATTTCATTTGCTTTCCTAACTGCTAACTGAACCTGCATGTTAACCTTAAGAGAATACTGAACTAGGACTCCTTTTTGTAATTCAGATTTCTAAAGCCTTTCCCATTTATAAAATAGTCTATGCCTCTATTCTTCCTATCAAAGTGATTAACCTCATTCTTTCCCACATTGTATCTGACTTCAGAAAGAAAGGAGGAGAACACACCCACATCTACATCAATGGAACTGAGGCTGAGAGAGTGAAGAGCATCAAGTTCCTCGCAGTGACGATAACCAACGACCTGTCCTGGATTTCCCATGTAAATCTGACAGTCAAGAAGGCACAACAAAGCTTGTTCTTCCTCAGGCAGCTCAGGAAATTTGGCATGTCCATAAGGTCCCTCACCAATTTCTACAGATGCACCACTGAAAGATGCATAATGACCTGGTACGGCAACTGCTCTGCCCAGGACCATAAGAAACTACAGAAGGTGATGTGCACAGCCCAGACCATCACGGAAACCAGCCTTCCATCCATGGACTCTATTTACACGGCTCGCTGTCGCAGAAAGGCGGCCAACATCATCAAGACCTATCGGACCCTGGTAGTGACCTCCTATAACCTCTTCTATCAGGCAGAAGACACAGAATCCTGAACACATGCATGAGCAGGTTCAGGAACAGCTTCTTTCTGGCTGTTATCAGACTGTTGAATGGACTCTAGCCTTAAATAGTGTAACCTGTATGCCTCTAAGTCTTTTTGATCTGTACATCCTTTGCTTGCTGTGATCTGCCTGTACCGTTCGTAAGCAAAGCTTTTCAGTTTCTTTGGGTACCCGTGACAATAAAATCAGAATCAAACAAACTCAAATCTGCCACTTCTTTGTCCACTCTCCTAGCCTGTCCAAATCCTTCTGCGGCTTCCCTGCTTCCTCTGTATCAGTTATGCAGGACAGCTTCCCAGCTGTCCCTGCACCTATCTTTTGGTTGTCTCCAAACATAGCAACATGGCTGTGGGTGACTGGGCCCAGAGCAGACTCAGGGCGGTCGGTGAATGAGCCCAGTGCAGACTCAGGGCGGTCGGTGAATGGGCCCAGAGCAGACTCAGGGCGGTCGGTGAATGAGCCCAGCGCAGACTCAGGGCGGTCGGTGAATGGGCCCTGCGCAGACTCAGGGTGGCCAGTGAATGGGCCCTGCGCAGACTCAGGGTGGTTGGTGAATGGGCCCTGTGCAGACTCAGGGCGGACAGTGAATGGGCCCTGTGCAGACTCAGGGTGGTCGGTGAATGGGCCCAGCACAGACTCACGGTGGTCGGTGAATGGGCCCAGCGCAGGCTCAGGGTGGACAGTGA